CGAAGCGCATGAATCCTAAAAATGCTGTTGCCCTTTTTTCTGTGTGTGTTTGTGTGGCGCTCCGTCCGTATCGGTATGCGGCATCTGTTACTCCGTGTACCATGTCCCATGTGTAAATGTATCTGTATGTCTGTATCTCTGTGTGTGTGTGTCTCTGTGTCTCTGTGTGTGTGTCTGTCTGTGCATGTGTGCGGTTTCCAGGCCAAGGCCAGACCCAACGTTGTCGACGTGTTGATATGTTTATCATTGTTATTATTTATGTTTAGATTTGAATGTCAATGCCTATGCCATCGAAATGGGCATCGACATCAACATCCACATCGGCATCGACATCGACATCGACATGGACATCGGCATCGACAATGGCATTGGCAATCGAATGCCAGACTTTTTCCCAGTGCGTTTTTTTTTGCTGTTCCAGCTTTTGGCTGGATGGGAATATGAACTGAGTGTGTGTGTGTGTGTGTGTGCGTGTGTGTGGGGAAGAGGTTCGTGGTTCATCTGGGTGCCGCATGTTGCCGGGGTTTATTGTGCGCACTTTGAACTTTGATGGCATTAAGTTGTCAATTTGCGTTTTGACTTACGAAAGACATAAATCGACAGCCGCCAGTCGGCAGTCGACAGTCTGCAGTCGGAAGGCAGCCGGCGTCAGTCGACCCAACCCGACCCGACTCCTATCTTCATCCGTTCCGGATCCAAAGCCATATTAGAATACGAATATGACACTGAGGCTGAGACTGAGGCTAAGGCTGAGGCAGAGCCTGCCATCTTCGAGCCAAGAAACTTCAAATGAAAAGGATTTGTTTTTTTTTTGTTGATTCTTTGGGGCTACTTGGCTGTTTTTAGCTTGGTCTTATTTAATATCGCATAGCGTTTTGGGTTTGCCGGAACAATGGCGAAGCCTTTTAAGACGCGCAAAACTTTTAAGTTTTGATTTTTACTTATTAATGGCCAGCAGTGTGCAATAATTTGTAATCTAATTAGTTCCACAAAAAAAACCAAAAAAAATATAAAGGAAGAAAAAACTTTGTCTGAAAGTGAAAACAAGAACATTAAAACTTAGCAGAAAAAAAAATAAACGATAAAAAGTTTAATAAAAGTGAAAATGGAAATGAAGAAGTGCTAAGAAGAAGACAAGACAGCTACAACCAAAAACAAACAAAAATTAAAAAAAAAAAACAGAAAAAACAGAAAAAACACCTAAAAAAGAAAGAAATTAATTTCCATCGAATTCCAAATGCCACTTGGAAGATGCTTGGCAATCACAACAACAACAACAGGAACAGCAACCAAAGTCAAACATTCGGGAGACAAAGAAATTTTTTAATTGATTTCACTTAAAGTACCAAATAAAACAACAAGACGAAGAACAAGACAAAAGAAGCAGGAAAAGTACCAACAACAAAAAAAGCTCTTGTTTTTTTTCGGTTTGCAAGTCGATTTTTGGGAAAGGCCGCATCCAGAGCCAGAGCGAAGAGCCATATCCATTCGGAATACACTTGACCATTAAAAAGTAAACTCCAACACACACACACACACACATACACATACATAGGACGTTATGTGCGAGTCCAAGTGGGCATAATTGGCCATTATGTGGGCCTAAAGACAAGAGCAGCAGCACCAGCATCAGCATCAGCAGGCGCTGGCCACTCACCCCCTGGGGAGTGGTGAGTGCTGAGTGTCAGGGGGAGAGGGGAAGAGGGGGCGGCTAATTAAAAGTAGCGAGAAATACAATTTGGCAATGGAGCTGCAGCAAACAACAACAACAACAACAACAATTCATGGCATTTATAATAACCATAATGGATTCGAACATGTTCAACTTGAAGTTAGGATTTCATAAAAAAAACCCATCACCCCTCCTTCAAGTGAAATGGAAACGGAATGGCAATGGAAATGGAAATGGGAATGGCAATGCCAGACTCAAAAGCATGCCAAATTGGAGCTGGAGCTGGAGCTAGATCCAGAACACTTGATGTATACATATATTTTGTATTTGTTTGTGTGGGTTGCGCAAAAAAAGTTAATGTAAGCGGATGAGCTTAGTGCAAGGTGTGGAGATGACAGATGGAAAATAGAAGGTGGAAGATAGAAGATGGAAGATGGGCACCTGCTATGGGCATTTGTCCGGTAGTGTTGAGTGGTTGATCTGAGAGAGCAGAGATTTGAAATGAACAGTTGGTCTTGCACTGATTGATTCCGATGCTGAATAGTGTAAATGTCAGGGGATTAGTGAGTCTCAGCTTGCTCAGCCCCGATTGTGATATTTAGCTGCTCACCTGACCTAACCAGACCTGACCTACACCAATCCGAGAATGGCCAAACAAACACGATACACATTTGACTTTGGTTTGGAAAAAATGGAAAATTGTGAAAAAAAAAAGAAATAGAAATCGATTTCTACGAAAATGTCACTGGAAATTTACAAAAGAATTCGAATTTCTCCTTGAACATGAAATGTGAATGGAAATTGTTGTGCCCAGACCTAGACCCAAACCTAGACACAGACACAGATACAGATACAGATGCAGCAACAGATACAGATATACAGATATAGATACAGACCCACACCTAGTCGAGATGCGTGTCTGACTCTCTATGTAAATCTCCCAATTAGTTGCACAAACAAAGCAAAGAAATTCATTTGCCGGCTGTCATTAATCATGCGGCGAAACTATCTATGTATCTGTGTAAGCATGAGTCACAGACCCATCCGAGAGCGGCTCAGCAAGAGTCCAGTTGCGGTTCCAATTCCCAATACCCATTTCTCAGTTCTCAGTTCCCAGTTGCCAGTTGCTACATCCAAATTTGTTGGCCGACTAATGCGCATAGCCGAGCCGAAAACACGCACAACAGAAAAGCAAAAGCAGCCGAAACGAATTTAGACCAAATATAAATACCAAACTGCATTTCGAACTGTTATCGATAAGATATTTGTATTTATCTCTTGTGACTAACTAGACTTTCTCCATTTAAGTTGCGGTTATCGATAGGCCTGAGAACGATGTGCTGTAGGATAAAGCAAGTTTACAACTATTTATCACAATCATCGCATTGATATTGTAATTTCAGAATGCTCAGCTCAATAATCATTCATTAAGCTTTAGGTATGGGGCTATTTTCGCAATAAAACATAAAGATTTCATTTAAATGAGCACAGTGTCCTGGACTAGTATCCTTGATTCTTTCGTAATCTGGTATTGCTTTTGACTTGCATTGCCGGCAATCGAGAAAATACTAAAACTATCAACAACAACAACAGCAATTGACTCTACCAATGCCATTTAGTCGCTCTCTTTGTCAAATGGCCCTCTCTCTTTGTCTCTCTCTCTCTCTCTCTCTTTGTCTCTCTCGAACGCTCACTCGCTCTCTGCGCAGTTGGGAGATCTACTGATGAACAACAACTTAAGTTAACTCGTCGATCGCACGAAACGATTCGTTTTTTGTTGTTCTTTTTGTTGACTCTCGACGCTCTTGTGCAGGCGCTCTCCGCTCTCTCTATCTCTCTCTCTGTCTCTCTCTCTCTCTCTCTGTGTGTGTGTGTGTGTTGGCTGCTGCTGCTGACTGACTCGGCTGACTCGGGGCCACGACGCCCGCACACACATTTCCAAGCCTCATTCCATAAACAACTGTGAACGTGAACGGTAAACGGTGCGTGCGAAACGGCTCTCAGCTGAACATCATATCGGGATCGTCATCGCCAAGCGGGGCTCATCTCCCAAGCAACTAACTACACATTTAGCAGCCACTAAGCAGCTGAATCAAACAAACGAAATATGAAATATGAAAAATTAGAAATGAGAAATGAAAAATGAAAACCAAAAGCTAAAAGCGAACAACGAACAGAGTGACAAGTGCCAACAAGAGCTAGTTGCTAATACGATCAATTTATATGATGGTTTTTCTATTTTCGATCGCCGTTTTCCTGTTTCTATTTTTATAGTTTTTTGTTTTTTTTTTTTCGTTTTCTAAAGTTTTTTACTTGTTGTCATACGAACAACAACGAAATATACTAAATTATTACCAAGCATTGAAACTATTCTAGCACACATACAGAATTGGGGAATAGAATTGGGGATGTACGAATACCAGAGTTATGTGAAATCGCTCGAAACGTGCATATTATTCAATTAATTTAGTTCAAATTTTTTTTCGTTTTTTTTTTGCGATATAGTTTTTGGGTTATATGTATATATATTATATATATATATATATATATCTATTTTATAGTTCGTGGCGCGCAAATTCTAGCAAAATGTGTCACATTTCGAAAACGTTTCTGCGTGTGCATTTCTCTTTGGTGGTGTGTTTCGGTTTGGATTTAGTTTGACCCGATTCCGATTTGAATTTGGACTGTGTAACGAACCAAATGACAAATACGGCAGCAGCCATAACACCAATGCACAACAAGCAAAAGCAAAAACAACAACAAAAACAAAAACAAATACAAAAACAAAAAATAAAACACATGCATATCTGTGAAAGGAAACAAAAAGCGAGTGAAATAAAATAAAATATAATGCACAAAAAAAAAGAAGAAAAAATAAAAGAAAATGTTTAATATTCATATACATCTATATAGCGACGGATTTTATACATATGTACTTAGATATGTATGTGTTGTGAAACACGCGGCATTTTGTTGTTGCTATTGTTACAACAGCAACAGTCGCAGATAATTTATAATCTTACACATTGTGCACATATACATACATATATATGTACATATATATATAAATGTATATATATATATATAGTATATACACATGTCCGATTCAATATATGCATGCTAGAATAATAATCTTTAGATTTTTGTTATTGTTGCCAACAACAACAAAGTGCATAAAAATTGTTTTGTTTCCGAGGGTATTTTTTTTCTTTGCATACAATTATTAATTTGCATACCTTTGACCATAAATTCTAATTTACAATATATTGCTAATACATATTTATAAATATGATTTCTCTCTCTCTCTCTCTTTAAATTTACAGTTTTTGTACCACTGTCCGTGCGTTTTCTGCTTCGTATATTGCACTATTTTAGTTTCGTGTAAACTGTGACTATTCATTTTTTTTCGTGTGTGCGAATCTTTCTTTGTGAACGGATTTATCTACATACAACACACACACCTATATATATATATATTTGCTTGTGTGTGTGAGCGAGTGTAACAGTGTGTGTGTTTGTTTGGTGTGCCATGTGAGCCCCTTGCAATGCAAGAGCAGCAACAATCAACAGTTGTCATAATGCCAACAGCAACAACAGCAACAGCAACAACGTCGACGACTACGAAAAAATGAAAGGCAACAAGCGACAAGAAAATTTTAAGCAACTAAATAAAATTTAGATAAAATTCAAATCAAATCAAAACTGGCCAAATCCATAATAACAACAACAACAACAGTGATAACAAAAATTTAGAGCGCGGCTCTGAAAGCACAACAACAACAACAACAACAGCAACAACAACATCGAACAAGTTGTGACCAGCAAAAGCAAAAGCAAAGCAAAAAGAAATAAAGAGCAAACGGATTCGAATACACATATAATATTTATTTGTATGCTAATTTATTTTACAATAATTCGGTATTAACCCCAAATCCAACAATAACAAACACAACAACAACAATACGAAAAAACAACATTTCGACGGATAAAAAGCCACAACAATAACAATCGCAGCGTTGACAACAACAACAGCAGCAACAACAACAACAACGCATGCCATCTTCTGCCTCTGCGCCTGGGATATAAAGCAGCAAAACGTAAGTTGTTTTTTTATGACTTTATTATGATGCTTATACCCTTGCGGAGCGTATTTTGATTTTGTCATATCGTGTGTAACACGCTGAAGGAGACGTCTTCGACCCCATAGAAAATATATATATCTATATATATATATATATATATTTATATATATATATATACACACATCTATATGCATATATATTCTTCATCCACAATCGTTCTGTTTAATAATTAAGTACACATTTATATATAATGATATCTGCAAGGGTATGTAAAGTTCGGTGTGTGTGAGGCAATTGCTGATATTTCTTGTCTCGTTTTTTTGTTGTTGTTTTTTTCGTTTCTTTTATTGCTGCTTGCAAATGTAAAACATGTTTTAAATGCAAATTCAATTAAATTTCACCGTTATTAGGCGCTAGAAGCAGATGAGGGCGGATTATCCGCTGCCATCCGGTTATTTGCAGTTAGTTTGCAGTTCAGTTGGCAACGCTCAGCGCCGAACTATTTGTTGGGCATATCCATCCATATCCTTGGGCTTTACCCAGCCAGTCAGCCCAGCCAGCCAGCGAACCCTGCTCACCATCTGCTTCAATGGACCCTTGACTGCTCTCTAATTACGGGCGCGACTATGCCTCTGCCTTTGCCTCTGCCTCAGCCTCTGCCTCTGCCTCTGCTTCGGCACTCTTAGCGGACGCCGACGCGGATGCGGATGTGGATGCGGATGCGAATGCAGATGGGTGAGGAGTGAGCAGAGCGCAGAGTGGCCAGTTTCGATTTCAATCCGCATCGGATCGAAATTACTTTCGTTGACCAGAAATGGTCAGAAAGAGATGCGATGAGCAGAATGAGAGTGTTTATCTGCCATTTATCTAAGTAAGCCATTTATCGTACGTGGCTTATAAGGAAGTATATCCAAATACATACATTGACCATGTACATTCAATTTGGTAAGATAGTTAAGCTGTATTTGTTTTTACTTGACTTGAGTTCCTCAATTTATGCTACGTCTTAATTAGTAAAGTTCCCAACATGTTTTTATAGTATAAAAAAGATTTGCAGCAATTTAAACAAATTTGACTTTTGTTTGAGTTTGGGTCACCCCAAATCGCGGCAAGTTGAAGAGTTTCTGTTAATATTTGTGTTTATATATGATGAATGATAATGATGGGGATGATGTCATTGGTGTTATCAGTTGGGAGCCCAGTCCGTTCTATGAGCATCCCAAATACTTGTGTCTGTGTGTGTGTGCCGATCATTTCCTTTAGTCAATTCTCAGCCCCTATGCGTCAACAACAAGAAGAGTTCCAACTAAAATTGCTCACATCCGATGCGGCACAGCACAAAGTTCAAATGGTCAACCGACCCTTGTGGTATTGTCAAGGCATTAGAAAGTGTTGCAAACACCAAGCACCAACACAGCAGACAGCAAACAGCACGAACATCAAATTAGCCACTCAACATACTCACAATCGCACTCACACTCACACTCACACTCACACTCACACTCATATTCATAATCTTGCTCGCATTCATTGTGAAAATAAATCAGCTTCGAAACACGAATTAATTTTCGTGTTTTTCTGTTCTGGGTTTCCTCAGCACCCCCTACACCCCTTAAGCCCCTTCAAATTCTACCCCCGACCACCAGCTCCAGCACCATTCCTTCATCTTATTGATGGAGTTATGGAACTGATTTAAGGCTAAAGGCTCTCGCTGAGAGGCTTGCATCAATCGCAGGGCTAATTGGCTATAAGTTGCTCTGGTTGCCCTAGTTGCTCTAGTTGCCCAACTGGTCGCTGGGCTGGTTCTCCATTTGCATTTGGGGAATGCAAAGAACGTGCCTCGCACCCCATAGAAATGACCTCAGCTTCTCGTTTTGTGTTACAGCCAATCTGCGAATGTTTCGGTATCGGTTTTTTGCTATTTGCTATTTGCCATTTGCCATTTGCCATTTGCTGTTCGTTCATCTTTTTTTTTTTTGCACTCACCACCAGCTACTTAATGGCTGCGATCCCAGCTGCACTTTATGAATAGGAATTGTGTAAGATTCAGTTTCCGGCTGCAATCAACTGAAAGAGAAAAACAAAAACAAAAAGCTTATTGCTTGCTGATTGTTAATTCGAAGAATTCGAAATGGATTTTGGCTAAAAAACAAAAAAAAACACAATGCTATCAATATTTTCAAATATGTAAACGCAAAGCAGCTTTTATATTGCCAACAAGTGCCCAAAATGTGATCACTTTTAATATTTTGTTTTTTGCTTGCTTTGGTTTTCATTAATTTTTAAGAATTAACAAGCAACAAGTTACCAACGAGCAAAGGGTAAACAGGTTGTCCTTATGGCCATTTCAATAAATTCCCGGATTATAAACAATCGACTTTGCATACAAAGCGAAAACAGAGTCTTTAAAATACGTTGGACTTTGGAGATATATATATATATATATAAGCGGTGGACAAGTTTTCAGATTATTTATCTATATCGAGCAAAAATAGAAATATGTGTGAAATAAATATGTACTTTGGAACAGCTTCAATAGAGTTAATAAGGCAACAAATCACCCACACCTGGCCAACCTGATCCACCTGACCTGGCTAAATTGAAATGCCAAAACGCTGGTTAGAATCGCCGTTAGCGGCAAAGCATGGCTCCAACTGTCCATTGTAGAACTTGGGGGGTTTTTATTTAAAATTGTTTTTTTCTGTTTTTTTTTTTTTTGGTTTTAAGCCTGTGCTGCCAACCGAAGCCCTGCCCCCGCACCAGAAAGTTATTGAAGCATGAAATGCCATGCCGCAAGCAGCTTGTGCCGCACTGAGTCATCGGTGCGTCGTCCGCAGCGATGCGTCAAAGTGTCGACGAACGTCGCACCGTCCGTTACGGGGGCAACTCGGACATGGACACGGAGACGGACAAACAGAAGTCGCGGCGGGAATAATAATTGGGAACGGGGGTGGGCTTGCAGCTCAAACTCAAAGAGTGAAAGGAAGGGGGGAAGCGGGCTAGAGTGAGAGGGACAATGCTGGCAGCGATTTCGTTGTGGCAGCGCATGTTACGCTTTTGTGGTCATTGCTGTTGTTGCTGTTGTTGCTGCTATTGCTGCTGTTGCTGACGGCGGCAGCGGCATGCGGAAGCCGTAAACAGTTTGGGGCAGGCGACCATCTAATCGCTGGCGATCGCTGTAGTCAACTCAGCCAGTGGCTGCCACAACTGGCCCACAGGTGCAGTGGTTGTCTGGCCGCTTGGCTGCCTCATTTGATGCCTTTAGCTGCAACAGCAACAGCAACGGCAACAACAACAATAACGGCAACATTGGCTATTACAATGCGACTTTTTATTGTTCTTGTTTGCCTCCGCTCGTAATTTACATTACACTCCATGGCCGACAGTCGTCGTTTGTCTTTCTTTATGATGCCTCCACAAAGTCAGAGTCGTTGGAGTCGGAGTCGGAGTCGGAGGCGTCGTCGGTGTTGCAGTGAAAGGGCACGGGGAGCCTCCTTCTTCCGCTGCTGCTGCTGCTGTGTGTTGCTGCTGCTGCTGCCGCTGCTGCTGTTGCTGCTGATATAAGCCAAAGCTCAGTCGACGTCACAGCTGAATGCGTCGCTGCTACTTCCGCTTACAATTGTTGCTGTTGTGTTTTTTCTTTTTTTTATTATTATTATTACACTTTATTACACATTTTATATTCCGTTTTCATTTCTATTTCTGCGCTCGTTGCTGTTGTTCTTATTGTTGTAGTTGCTGTTGTTGTTGTTGTTGTTGTTGCTGTTGCTGTTGCTGTTGTCGCTTCTGTTGCTGTTTTTGGTAAATGATTTAATTATTTTAAATTCTTGTTGTTTTTTTTTTTTGTTGTTGTGTTTTCATTTACTTGTTTCTTGTTTGTGTTGTTGGCCACATTTGCATGTGCGACCGGACACGCCTCCCCCAACACACTCGCGCCCAACTTGTGCATGTATATTACTTGGCTTGTTATTTGGTATGGCATAAAAATAAACTGAAAATTAAACGTTGTCAACCGCAAATGTGACAAGCACTTCATTTTCATGCATGTTAAGTGAGACAAGTGGATGCCAACCAGAGCCTGGCCCGGATTGGTCACCAGCCGCTAAGGGGAACAACACACACTCAGTAGGCGGCGACATAGGGTCATCCTTTGGTCTAGTTTGGCACACAGCTAACTCTAAAATATACTATAGCAAATTTAAAGTTCGAGTGAGAGACTAGTAGGGACAGTAATAGAGTGAATAATGCAATTATTTGAACCCCTCCCAATATAGTGGCAGCATTAAATTGATGTTCCATTAAACTAAACTTGAAAACTAAAAATCCAAGTTTCCGCAAAAGAATTTATTATAAAACATAGTATGCCAGAGCTGAAGAGTTCACTTAATTTAATTACAATTGCTAATTAACTTGCAACATTCTCTTTTTACATTTTTCTCAAATTTTCAACCTACTTTTTTCAATGCATAATTTTCGAATATTGTCCTTCAACAGGGAACTGTGTCAAATTTGTGCACCATGCACCTGGTTTATGCCCCACTGTTCATACATATACACACAATCTATGTGTGTGTGTGTGTGTGTGCATTTGTGTGTGTGTGTGTGTGCATTTGTGTGTGTGTGTGTGTCAAGTGCGAAAGCATATGTTTTTAAAATGCTAATGTGATGAGAGCCGAGTGGAGTGGACAAGAGCAGAGAAGCGCGTGTTGTGGCTTGCGAATGGTACTCGTTTGGTTAGGCAGCCCAAGGATGAGGGGGTGGCTCAATGTGTGCTGGTGGGGGAGGGGAGTGTTCAGCAAATGCTGGTTAAGGATCACTCTCAATGTACATTGCAGTTTTTGCTATGCGCAAAATGGAAACGAGTGTTTTTTGCCAACCACACTTGTCGCTGTTGCTGATGTTGCTGTTGCTGTTGTTGTTGCTGTTGCTGCTGATGTCCCTCTTGTTGTTGTTGTCGTTCTTGTTGTTGGCCATGCTAGTGCCAGCGGCAACACCTATGACTCCTTGTTGCCCCATGGGGAGGAGCAGCGAATGGGTTTGGCGTGCAGTGTTAATGTTGAGGTTAGGTGCACCCCAACAAGGACGCCTGGCATCCGTTACAGCTGTTTGCGGTAGCCAGCGATGTTTTGGTTGACAATTCTCGTTTTGTGAAATTTTTGTTGTTAGTCTTTTTATCATATTTTGTTGGAATTGCCCTTGTTGTGTCTGCTGTTATACGTTATACGCACTGTTGTTGTTGTTGTTGTTGCTATTGTTGTTGCTATTGTTGTTGCTGTTGCTGTTGTCTTCCTTCATTGTTATTTTCGGGTGCTGCTGTTGTTAGGGTTGTTTATTATGCAGTATGTTGCGTTGTGCGGTCTTTTTTTTCCCAACATTTTATGACTGCGAAAACATGAATAAAAGCCAACGCCAGCAGCAACAACATGACAAACAACATAATTTCATGATCCCATTACCCAAAATAAACCGGAATAGCTTTGAATAAAAATATGTGAAATATATGTACATACGAGTATATGTACGCGTACACACACTAAATAGATTTTGCAAGTGAAAACATGTAGTCTTCAAATGGGTGTTCATTTCTACACACTCCTCACTTGGCATTCTTCGGTTCGTCGCTGCGCTTTATCGCATGATCAGCTAAGAGAATAAAACGAATTAACACCAACAGCAATAGCAACAACAACAGCAACAATAACAGCAACAACAACAGCAACACCAACCAGATGCTCGGCCCCAGGGCTATTGTGAACTAGCAACAAAAACTGCATGTTGCATTGTGTTCTTGTGTTGGTGCGGGGCCAAGAGTCGAATTATGTGAGAAATGTATTAAAATTGGTTGCGACAGCGAAATGTAAGCAAACAAGCAAGCAACAAGCAACAAGCGCCTGCTGCTGCTGCTGCTGCTGCTGCATCGAGTACTTTTTATAGTGTGCCGCTAACAGTGACGACTATCACTGCCACCCTTTGCTTTATTCTTCATCAGACATCGCCCACACCAATGCCAGCGATTGCAGCGGGGCCAAAGTTGCTGCTGCAGATGCAGCTGCAGTTGCTGTTGTTGCTGTGGTTGTTGTTCTTGTTGCTGCTTGCTGCTGCTTGCTGTGTGGCATCTTGTGCAGCCGTTTCTCATGAACTGATGGCGCCCTCTTTGCTGAATGGGCGATTGGCCGTGTGACCGTCGCTGACATGTTGCTGATGCCTCTGGCTCAGCCATCAGCAGCAACAGCAACAACAACAACAACAACAACAACAACAGCAGCAGCAGCAGCAGCAGCAGCAGCAACTAAAAGCAAGAACAACAGCCGCATTGTTGCTAGTTGTTAACGTTGTGTGCTGTCAATGAATTTGTGGTTCAAGCAATTCAATTGAAAATGCAATGGCATTAGGCGATGACGGCGATGATGAGCATGACGAAGACGAAGACAAAGACGATAACGACGACGCAGACGCTGACGATGAGGAGATGAAGTTGACGATGACGCTGGCGATGACGATGAGGATGAGGATGAGGACAAGGATGAGGATGACGCTGGAGATGTTGCTAACTGAACTGAACTGAACTGAACGAACAATGCCAATGGATCGGACCAAAGCTATCCGACGACCGATCACGACCAGCAGGCGGCAACCCTTCTGTTGCTATTTGTGTTGTCGTGTATTGGAACGTGAGATGGCAGATAAATCAATACCGGCCACAGCAATAGATAGATGAGCAGCATTGTTGTTGCTCCACATTCGAAATCATTGAACTAATGAGCGAGGCTGTTAGCGGCAGCTCAGCAGCCCAGCAGCCCCAGCAGCCACAACTGCAACATGTTGCCCGCAAACCAGACAGACACACGGCAGCAACAGCACCAACAGCAGCAACAGCAACAGCACCAGCACCAGCAGCAGCACCAGCAGCAGCAGCAGCAGCAGCAGCAATTGTGATAAGCACTGCCATAGAAAGTTTAATGACATCAAACAGGCACTGGGTGAGCGAGAGATAGAGATAGAGACAGAGAGAAATAGAGAGAGAGACAGAGAGAGAGATAGAGATGAAGAGAGCGATATAGAAAAATAGTCAGTGTGGAACAGAGAGATAAAGAGAGAGAGAGAGAGAGAGAGAGAGACAGCGAGTGAGTAAGATAGCGAGTACAATCTTATGCCAACTTTGTCTAATCGAAATCGAAAACAAACCGCTTTACAAGTCGCAAAAAACAAATCAAATAAAGTGCATTCGCTACCGGGGAGAACAATGACCTCCATCTGATCGTGCAACGGCCCCTCCAGGGGGCAGCTGGCGTCGTGGGAGTGGCAAGGGGGCGGACTGGGCTATATGTCATGCTGTCATGTCTGTGTATATAGATTACAGCAAGTGCGCCACTGTGCGACTTTTTACAAAGCCAAAGCTATAGCTAGTATATAGATGTATGTATGTATATATATAGATGTATAGCTATATAACTACATCTCTGTATGAAGCCGCATCCTTATGTCCGTTGATAATGATAATGATTGCAGAGAATTCTCCCCATTTTGGACAGGAGCAGATATAGACTGGAGAACAGTCTTGGGAACAGCAGTTAATGCTGTTTATGGTTATGGTAACACTTTTGAACAAAATGTAAAAAGATGAGATAGTTTTGGGAACAGCTGGAGGGAACAGATTGTCAATGTCAAGGACAATCTGGCAAACTGTTTTTGTATAATAGTTTTGTGTACAGTCTGCAAACAGCTAAACTGATTACAATTTGTAAATTTACCTGGGAACAGCTGGAGGGAACAGATTGTCAATGCTGTGGCAACAATCACGAGAACAGTTTTGCATACGTTGTGAAAATAGATAAAGAGCACAGAGAATCGAGGTAAGCGAATTGTAAACAATTAACGATCAGTGTCTCAAGCCATTTGTGAAATATGACAAGTCTGTGGCTGGGACTGATAAATGGATTGTTTTGTTTGATATGAGTGTTTTATGTGCTGCAACTCAGATTTATTCGACTGATTGCCAGCCAGCCTACGCTGCCATCGATGCCATCCATGAACGGCTTTCAAATCTTTTGGGGTTTCGCACTTGAGTTATCCTTTCACTGCAGCTGGCTTGAAAAGTTTTTCATTGCCCATAAACGTTAACGCACTTGGCTATAATGATATAATAATAATTTATTTTTTATTTTAGATTGCTGCCTGCTGCTTGCCGCTTGCTGCATGCTGGTTGTTGGTTGTTTTTGTTTTTGTTAGCGTGTCGTGGTTTTATTGCCAGCAGTAGAAAACAAGTACAACATTTTGCGTTTAATTTAAACATGTTTATTTTTGTTGTTGTTGTGCTTGTTGTTGTTGTTGTTGTCTTTTGGTTTTTTAATTTTTTTTTTTTATTTATGCATAAGCGCAAATTATGAACGGCAATAAAAAGAGACGCCAAAAATGCCGAAAAATTAATAAGAAGACGACACAAATGAAAGATGATTGCAAGAGTCTGGAACTGGAAGCTGACGCAGACGTTGACGTTGACGTCGACGTCGACGTCGACAACGATGTCAGCGCTGGACAGCGGCGACATTGCTTGGCGCTAATTTGATTTTTGTTGTTTTAGCGGCGCCTCATCGACTGCAGCTGTTGCAGTTGTTGTTGCTGTTGCTGTTGTTGTCGTCGTTGTTGCTGCTGCTGTTGTTACTCTTGCTGCTGCTACTGCTGTTGCTGTTGTTGCCGTCTGCGGAGTTACATTTTGACATTTAAACGTGTTTTTGGCATTTGACGGCATTTTTAGCTTGTTGTTTGCTGCTGCTGCTGCTGTTGCTGTTGCTGCTGATGTTACTGTTACTGTTGTTTTTGCCTTCTTGTTTTTTTTTCTCTCTTTTATTGTTCAATTTTTATTATCTTTCTTGATTTGCGCTTTGCTGTTTTTATGGCGCTGTATCTTGTTGTGTGTTTGGTACAAGTTTTCACCAATGTGGCCCACAGCTCTAACCCTTCCCTTCCCCAAACACAAACATAAACAAAAACAAATACAAAAACAACAACAACATCAACAACAACAATGGGGAACCTGAAAATCTGGTGTCCACTCATTGACGACATAGAAATTTGTTGTCTGAATGCAAATTTTACTTTTATTGTTTCAATGTTTCTACAATAAAACACAATTTGATTGCAATTCGCTGCTGTTTCGCACAGATTGGCTGCAAACGAATCCCTTTTTTTTTTTTGTGCGGGCGTCCCTTACGAATTGGTCTAAATGTTTCTTGCCTGCGGCCCGAAAATGTTGTACAACTTGAATGGGACAAACCTGTTTGATTTTCAAATCAACAGCATCGAAACGAAAATAAAGCAACATCACAGATTGAAATAGACAAAAAACTCATTGCGTATGATAAGGATGTGCGAAGGAGGCGAAGGCGGGGTCTATCAGTTACGAAGGGGGGGGAGTCCATTTTTTTTTAGTTGTGTGTGTCTGTGTGTGTGGGGAGGGGGGAAGGTTGGTCGGGGGGTATTCGCAATCGATCCAGGCGAAGGCTCATCGAGGCGTACAATTAAACTGTCAAATTCAACAAATAACTGGATTTGTTACAGTGAATGAATGTTACATTGAAATGGAAAAAAATATTGCCCCAGCACATGGGTGAAATTTTCCAGCAAATGTCAAATGTCAAATGACGAATGGCGAATGGCAAGCGGCGAATGGAAACGAGACCCAGTGCTTAAAGCTCTATTCAAGGTCTCCAGTAGCGAGTTGGACTTTCAGCCCCAGTCGAAAAAAAAAAAAAATAAATCATCCTCAGATAGCCCCGCAGAATACTCAGTAATACTGTATAACCACTTTAATCGCCGCTCGAATTTGTCGTTCTCGTTGTTGTTATTCTCAACTTGAATTTAATGTAAAAAAAAAAGAAAAAAAATAAATACACCATAATATAATAAAACTGTGATGCTGTGTGTCTGGAATTCTCCACTCAAGGTCTTGTGCAAAGGGTTATCTTGATAGGCCAAACGCCCACAATTCCCACTTCCCACTTCCTCCCAGCAACAACCAGCATAACATTTGCGTTTGAAGCGTTTGAAGCTTACAGCCTCATTTTGTGGGTACGCATTTACAAAAATGCCTCATGTTCTTTTAAACATAAGCTTACGATTAACAAATTGCGGCAAAAGTTGCTAGACGCGAAGCTTTGGCAATCATCCGTTGAATGCTTTGATGAATGAATGAGTTCAAAGATTTTGGTTCCCTTTTTGAATAAATCTTCAAGAATAATAGCAAACTCCAATCAAAAGTGCAGAATTGCTCTAAAAAAAAAAACGTACTTTAATTGAGTCTTGCTCGGGCTTATTTCAATGTTGAATATTAATGTTGAGCTTATTGTAATTATTTTTTCCCATTGAACTTGCCTGTTCGAATAGCCAACGTTACTTTAATTGAATATTCTTATTGTTGCAGCAGAGCTCAAAGTGAAGGCAGAGGGGAGCGCGGAGTATTCACATCCTGTGCAAGGATTGTCGTCCACCTATCACAAGCGCAAGAAGAAAAAAAATAATCATATTAAAAAACTGTTGGCGTTGCATTTGTTATTCCTGTTTTCATTTGACATATATGTCGCCTGCCTTGGGGTGAGTACACACATATATATATATATAATATATTTTTTTTTTCGATTTTTGTTAATTTGTTACGCTCGCGTATTTCGCGCTGATAATTTTCGAGCCATAAATTGCATAAATATTGCAGTTGCAGTTGGCATAGCTCATCGCTTGCAGGCAAAAAGTTTGGGCCAGGCAGGGGGGTGATTGGTGTAGGGGGTGCGGGGTGCGGTTAAGTGCTGATTGTGAATGGGTAAGCTTCCCTTTTGATTGAATTGCGTAAGCATTTAATTTTATTTTATTTTGTTTGGTTTTGTTTTGTGCATAAATGTGTATATATTTTTATATGTAATTTTTTAATTTTTTTCGCACTGCTGTTTTAGTTGATTAAACACAACTGTTTACGTGCTCGTTTCTGCTGGAAATGCATTTCAGAGCGGGCAGAGCTTTTCCACGATGCGACTGTTTCTTTATCGCAATTGCCATAAATAACGAGACTGCCCCGAAATATTTCGGTGCGCATAAATATTGTCAATATTGTCGTTGTTGCTGTTGCTATTGACAGTTGTTGTTGTTGTTGTTGTTGCTGCTGCTGCTGCTGCTGTGCATTGAAATAAATATTACAAGATCCAAATTAATGATTCGACGCTGTTCAATTGGTTCAATAACATTTCAATTGCGCTCATATAATTTTAATTAAAATTAAATCGCTTACAACAACAAAAACACTGTGCGAACACATAATGAATTTTAAATGTTGCGTCGATTCGGAACTTCGAGCTTCAAGCTCGAGTTCGAGTTCGCTGTGCTGTCGAAATTTGCCACTAACGGGGTTAACCAACCAACGAAGCAACCACAGCTCAACCCGAGCTCAAGCTCAACCTTAATGCATGAGTTGGATGTGGGGGAATGGGAGGATGGGGGAAGGACGGGTGGATTTGCATTTAATTGGATTTACCAGTGCTGCATGCCTAATTGCTTGTACCCTGCACAACATTTATGCCAACCACGCAGTTTTATTCTTAACCTCTCCCCGCCAACGACGAAGGTGGCTTCAACTTTTCAGAGCAGCAAACGCCACACCCGGAAGCAATAGCGCAACAACAACCCAAGCAGTGACAGAGACCAGAGATAACAGACCAACCAACAGCAAGACGACCAGTCATACAGATCATTGAATCCCCTCTTTCAACAGCCACACAGCCTCAACGGTTGCTCTTCCTCATCATTCATGCCCCTGGACTGCGGATTGTGCTGCAAGATCACACAAATCTGTGACAAGTTCAAACGATTTTATAATTACCGCATCATAAGTCATTTGCATGTCACAAATAGAAATAGAATGTGAATGTGACAACAGCAACAGAAGTTAAAGACTTAAAAAATGAAAACATTAGTTGAAGAAGCAGATGCAGAAGAAGAAGAAGACAATCGCAGCGGAAGTGCGACAAGTTGCGAGTTGGCGAAACTTTGCTCAAACAATTTCTACGATTACAAATCAACTCATTTGAATATTTGGTAATCTGCATAAGTCAATGGTCGATAAGTTTCAAATCGAAAGGTAGCCAATTGCTGTTTATCATTGCCATCAGACATGGGTGTAGGCAGATGGGGGTCGTCGGTATATCTTCGCTTTACAATTGATTTAAATCGAAAATAGACTGTGTGATGACTACTAGAAGATCATTTAGATAATACCAATAATAACAATTCTTTTATTTAGTACATTCTAACAACTGAGAAGTTTCAACAAGTTTTAAGTAAAGCGGAAATGAAAGAATATATTTTTAATTGTATTTTATTTTTGTTTTTGTTGTGTAGTTGGCAGTTCGTGGCATGAGTCCAAGCCATTTAATGTAATAACAATAACAATTATTTATCAATTAAGCAGCTACATTTAATTCAATTTGACTCCGTTGCCCCCGAACCCGAACCCGAACCCGAACCCGAGCACAATGCGAGATTATTTAAATTTTATTATTTAAATTTCATTTATTTTTTTCGCCAACAATTTTACTAAATTTATGCGTAAAAGTTCAATTGCTTTCAAAATGTCAATAATTTGCTGTGGCTGCTGTTGTTCGTTTGGGTTATTGATATACATATATATATATATATATATATATGTATATATATATTTGTTGTTGATGTTACTATTCATGTTATTGTTGTTGCTGTTGTTGTTACGTATTGTCAGCTATCTCATGAATTTTGCATGTGGCAATTTATTTATTGATTTACTTTACATTCAACTACTGCCTCTGCGGTTGCAACAAAACTAACTAACTACAAATACAGCGAGTGCCATTCTGTCAAATGTCCTCAATAATAAATTGACACACACACTCGCACACACTCGCAAACACACACACACACACACATAGATGAATCGCTTGCACATTTCCATTTGTTTCACATGGCAAATGAAAACGTGTCAAAGGTGTTTGCAATTTTGCAGTCAATTGGCATTAATTGAGTGTGAACACAAAAATATATATTTTGTGAATCGTCATTTCCCTGAGTGTGTTCTCTCTGTGTGTGTGTGTGTGTGTGTGTGTGCGTGTGTGTGCGAGTGTGTGTGTCTATTTATTATTGAGGATATGTGAGAGAGTGGCGCGCGCTGTATTTGTAGTGTGTGTGTTTTGTTGCGCGCGCAGAGGGAGTGGTTGTGTGTAGAGTATATATATATATATATTGCCACGTGCGATATGTGTGAGAGAGCTGACAGTGCGTGACAACACGAGCGACAACAATTATGTGTAGTGACACATCCACAACACATATATATACACACATATATATATATATATATATGCGTGATCAGCGTGATTTAGAAATTAAAATAGCTAGAAACATCAAATTTTAAATTTCAGTTTCCATTTATCCCGCGCAGATCAAGTTAATCGCATATATATATATATATCTATATATTTATCGATATCCGATTACAATAAATGCCACAATTTTAAAGATGTATCTTTGCAATCAAGAATGTATCTCCCGTTGAAACAACAATACAGATGATCTGTATGCATAATATCATTATATATTCATATCTGCCACATTACATGCATATGAACACACACACACTTGCGTATTTATACACACTTCTGATAGGTATAGACTTGGGTTCAGGGTATATCGTAGTCAAACTCTCCAATTGATAAGGAATCATGTTGATATTTGCTCCCTGCAGGTTGGGGCTGCGATAATGCCAAGCCAGAATCTCGCACATCAATTGTGAGCAGTTTGTTTTGGAGCCCGAGCTAGTTGTTATCAGGTGAACTGATTTAAGTGGCAAATAATGGGCTGACACTGCTTACGAGGTTGCTCAGTTCATTCCTCTCATTCCTCCACATTTCTCAATCATGCATATGAATTCCCGCTAAATGATTTGATTGGCATCGGGATACAAAGTACTCGTAACTTATGTTGTCAAGTTTTCGATTGTTTCGTCAAATAGATAGCCGTTTTTTTTTTGTTTGTTTTTTAGTTATCCACTCGAATCGACACTCATGAATACTTATTTGAGTGTGAAGCACCCTATCAGTTAATTGTAGTGGGCAACTTTCACATGCTAAGCAAATAGAAATCTTGCCACAGAAATTGAGATACATGCAGATTCTTCTTCAACTCGAGTGCGGCCCAATCCAGATTCGTTGTTAACGTCTCAAATCTGAAATCTGAAATCTGAAAATCGATTTCAACACAACACAACCCAGCCTGTCCCGTCCATTTGCCTATTATGCCGCCCACAAAGACAGCAATAAATATACCAAACAAAAAAAAAAAATAAATAAAAAAAAATTCAGACATCAAAAGTAGCACAAATGAAGGTTTGGCCTTGAATTCTGCGCTCTATGCGTACGAAATTTCATAAAAAAAAATACAAAAAATAAATAAATAAATAAATAACACCAGCAGGCAACAAATACAACCCGAGTAACTGATAAACAATTGTTTTCTCTTTTTTTTTCTTTTTTTTTCGTTTGATTATATTTATTTTTTTCTTCAATGACTTGTCACGAACCTGTGTGTTGATTGCTTGCGCTTTAAGTGCGCATTCGTTGCGAAAATTACATAAACAAAAACTAAAAACAATTGACAAAACTGCTAAATGGAATTTTAGGCAACAAACGACAAACAACAAACAACAACAACAACACCAACACCAACACCAACGAGCCGCAGCAACAGACAACAAAACAGAGAAAAACAATGTGGGTTGAATACAAAATAGAATTTCATAAAACATGAAATTGTATTTGATTTAATTTTCGATAGTTCGGAATGCATTTCATCAATGCAATCGCTGCTTATTTTAATTAGCCAATTTCAAATGATTGCTATGCAACCTATGCAAGCCGGCGGGGGGTGGGGATGGATGGTAGGGGGGGAAGTTGGCATTGGCTACACTGCTCACAAATGTAGTGCGGGTATGGGTTTTTTTTTTGTTGTTGTCTATTTATCTGTTTTGCGGGCTTTGTGGAGAGAGATGAAGTGTTGCTGGAGGGAAGGCAACATTTGTTGGCATACATTTTAAGTAGGTGTTTGGTTTGGCCCCAAGGCCGGAACCGGGAGAGACCCAAATTCACTATCTGTTTTCTTTTTCTGTGCGCTCTTGGTAATTCCACATCCACATCTACATCCACATCCACATCCAGTCCCAGTTACAGTTTCAGTTCCGGTTTCGGGAAGGCCGCAAAAACCGCATGTTGCCAAAAAAGTTGACAATATGGGCATTTCAATTTACGACTTTGTGTGTGTGGATGTGTGTGTTTGCTTTTTATGATTACTAAATCTACTAATTGGTCGGGCATTTTATGTTTGCGTCTCACTCGTCATACGCTCTGTTAGCCCACAGCCCACAAATATCGAACCCTCTTCCCCTCCATCTGGTCGATTGCCTACAAATAACCGACATAACCCATACAAGACAACAATTCAGTTCTGGTCATTCTGTTCTCTGTGTCGTTCTGTGTGCGCTACAAAGCTTTAACTGTTGTAATCATAAAAACAAGAGATAGTCG